ACCAGTGGAACATAAACCTACTATGTTCTTAGCACATAAAGCCTCATACTTTAACATCCAATTGAAACAAGTAGTATGCTGATGAAAACTAAATACAAAGCAAGTTAACATACTTTTAATTGCCAAGGTGAAAGATTGACAACAAATGTTTTAGGAATGACAGTGACCCTTGGTGCTAACCAGAGTGGTCTTCCTCCTAAGAAGGTGTGACTCAGACTGGACTAAGGAATTCCTGAATGCAACTATTCAGCAACAGCAGTAAGAGAAACAAGAGCAAGTGGGGGACAGAGAGGGGGAGATAAATTCTTAGGCCAGGTAGGGGATGAGGGAGGTAAAAAGGGAGGGGGCATGAAGAGAAAGCACATATGTAAGTTTCTCTAAGTAATACAAAGTCTTAATCTGAGGAGCCTGAGCTGAAGGCAGTGGGAATTGTGGGTCTTCTTCTGAAGGTTTCTAAACTCGTGCCTATGTGGGAGGTAGAATGAGATTGAAAGTGGAAAGTGGTTCTTTCTAGGAGGAACATCTCCTAATAGGGATTAACTATAGAATAGGCTGCATCAGGAGAAATGCCTCCTTGAAGTCAAGCACTGTGCCAGGTGCTGGTAAACCCACAATGAATAGGACAGGTCCCCGCCCTCAAGGAACTGCAGTCCAGCGGGAGAGCCACCCACCTTGAAAGTGTCCTAGAGGAAGCCGGATAAGGTAGTGGGACTCTGCCAGAGATGGGGCCCTCCAACCCTGAGATTCCCTGTGCATAAGGGCTTGGCCTAGGTAGAGCAAGGAAAATGGAAAAAAAAACCTCTCATACACAAGAGAAATTTTTAAAGTGGAAATAACAAGTCCTGGACTTAGTGACTGCTTAGATGAAAGAAATGAAGGAGCACTCAAAAATTTTAAATTTTAATCATAGGAAGCTGGGAGAATGAACTAAATGGGTGTAAGAAAAGGGAAATGAGTTCAAGACATGGAAAGTCTAAGATGATGGCAGAATATCTAAGAAGATTCAATAGAGGCGCCTGGGTGGCTCAGTCGGTTAAGTGTCTGCCTTCGGCTCAGGTCATGATCTCAGGGTCCTGGGATCAAGCCCAGCATGGGGCTTCTTGCTCAGCGGGGAGTCTACTTCTCCCTCTCCCTCTGCCACTCCAAAGAACACTCGTGCATTCTTTCTCTCTCTCTCTCTCAAATAAATCTTAAAAAAAATAAAAATAAAAAGAATCAATAGGCTGGAGGAGATAATTAGAAGGATCACTGGCCAGGAGACAGTTGAGGGAGCCATGAGAACAAATGAGCTGAGGAAGGAAAAGCACATGAAGCCTCAAGGGAGCCCTGAGTTAGAAAGGAGGTGGAGGAGGAAGAGGACTTGAAGGGTGACTCACATAAGAAGTGTCACCTTAGCTGCCCCTAAAAGCCCGTGAGTCCTGGATTCTGTCTCAGAAAAGTACTGAAGTACTGTTTATGGCAAGCATGATGTCAACATCTGAAGGCTGATGTTCTTCAAGCATTCCCTAGTCTGCCCATTTGGTGCTACTTAACACTTACTCCACAAATAAATGTACTGTTTCCCATGTGCCAGATGCCATTCTAGGCACTGGGGATACAGCAATAAACAAAATGGACCAAACTCTCTCATGGTGCTTATATTCTGGTATGAAGCCAATAATCCAGATAAAAAAGCAAAACATAGAGAATGGGAAGTAATGATAGGTACCAAGGAATAAAACAAGGCAGAGAAGAGAGTGCTGGGACTATCCAGAGTGGTGTTGCAATCTTAGAAAGAGTGGCCAAGGAAGGCTCATAAAAAGGATGACATGTAAGTGAACATCTGAAGGAGGTGAAGAACATTCCAGGAAAAGGGAACAGTAAGAAGGCAGGCCCTGACCTGAAGCATGCTTGGAGTGTTCGAGAAGCAGCAGGGAACCAGTGTGGCTAGACTGTGGTAATTGAGGAGAGTAGAGAAAATGAGGTCAAAGAGGAGGGACCAGAGAGGCGGGCGAGGAGCAGAGGGATACCATGTGGGGCCTTTAGGCTATTGTAAGGACTTTCCCTTTTATTATGCCTGAGAAGGCATGGAAGAGACTGGCTATTTACCAGACTGTTTCCTCTTTCCTCTATGGACACAGCTACACTACAGTATGGACGGGTAACTGAGCTCTGGCCAAAGGAAAAGTAGCAGAAATGATGTCTACCGCTTCCAGTACTTGCCTTACCAACCTGTCATGGGCCATTCTCCAAGCTCTCTCTCTATCTCTGGCAACCCTAGAAGCCGTGTAGTGCAGATGGCATTATCACAAGATGGAAGGAGCCCAGGTGCTTGTTAAAAAAAACTCTCACTGAACAGGAACACCTTTTTTGGACTTTTTCTGAGTGGGAAATGAATTTCTACTGGTTATTTTATGCCACTGATATATTGGGATTTATCTCTTTCAGAGCTAGCATTACCTTAACTAATACAGATGGGAAGACATTGGAGGGTTTTGAGTGGAAAAGTGACATGATCTAAGATTTTTAAAGGGTTACATGTGACCGAAGAGGGTGAGATTAGAAAAAAGCCACCCCTTTAGGAGGTTTTGCAACAATCCAAGGGATGAAAATGATGATGGCTTGGTCCAGGGCGGTAGCAGTGGAAATAGTGAGATGTGTTGGATCCTGCATATATTTTGAAAGTAGTTTAAAAGGATTTCCTGATGGGTTGGAGATGGGGTGGAGAGAAAGAAAGGAGTCAAGGATGACTCTAAAGTTTTGAGAAAGTAGAAAAATGGGGCTGCCATTGACTAGGATACCGAAGACCTTGGGAGGGGCAAGTCTTGAGGGATAATATTGAAAGGTTGGTTTTGGACATGTTGAGATGCCTATTAGATATTCAAATAGAAATGTCAAGTAGGCAGTCGGATAGGTGTCTGTAGAGTTCACAGTGTTCTGGACTAGAGATATAAATTTGGGAGTAATTGGTTTATGTGCGATATGCAGCCATGAGTTTTGATTTGGAGATGGTAGAGGGTATTGATGAGAATGAATCAGCAAAGGAAACTGAGAAGAAAAGTCAGTGAAGGAGGAAAGCCAGGATAGCATAGTGTTCTAGAAACCAAGTGAAGAAAGCATTTCAAGGACAAAGGAGTAGTTACTTATGTCCCACGCTGGTAACAGAGAGAGGAGGACTGATTAGCCATTGGCTTTAGCAACATGGGGATCAGGTTTGGTGGGGTAGTGGGCGCCAAAACCCACCAGAGGGGTTCAGGAGAGAATAGGAAGCAAGACATTGGAAACCCTTTCAAGGAGTTTTCTTCAAAGGGGTGGAGAAAACTGGAGCAGTGGGGTAGCAGGGCCAAGGGAGGTTTTGTTTTGTTTTCTTCTATTTTTAAATGGAAGTAATAACAATATGTTTAGGAAAAATATCAGTTTGTTGCTGATGGGAAGGATCTAGGACTGAGGATAAAATTGATATAGGAAAAAGGGAGAATCGCTGGAGCAATGTCCTTGAGTAGAAGAGATGGGATGGGACCTAGTACAAAAGGGGAAGAGTTGGACATTGCTTAGAACTGAGACAGTTCTTCCATAGTAACAAGGAGAGAAACTAGATCTATGGGTCTGGTTCCAGGTAAGTGGTGGACATGGTGGAGAGATCTTGGAGTTCTCTTTCAATTGCTATGATGTTCTCAGAGGAAAAGGAAGCTGGGTCATCAGGAGGCAATGGGGGTTTGAGGCGAGAGAAGGTGTGAAGTAGCCATTCAGCAGAGAGAACAGATGAGGGAAGCATAGTGTGATCTCCAGGCAACACTGAGGACCCTCCTGAGACTTGAGATTATGACTTTGAGGTAACACTGATTGGTATATCACATGGTTTTCTCCAGACAAGTTTAGCAGCATGATGCAGGCATGGAGTTGGTGGAGAGCTGGACTTAGCCAAGTAAATAGAATCAAGTGGAAGAGACACAAAGGTGTTGAGGGTGCATGCAAGGGAATGGTAATAGTAATGATTGATCATGGAATCTAGGCTGAGGGGAAGGAAATGAGGATGTGAGGAGAGTGAGGGACAGTGAAAACCCAGAAGGAGCAACAGATTGTGGGATTAGCGGGTGGAAGGATTACTGGACTCAGGGAAAGACAGGCGGTGGTAGAGCTGGAGAGTGGAAGTAATGGGGTGGGGTACAGTTATTAACGACAAACTCTGGGATAAAATCGCAGGAGTTAGTGGCTGATGAGGGTAGTGGGCAGGATTACTGGGCTGCGGCAGCTCAAGGAACAGCGACCAGGGTATGGGAGGGGTCACCTAGGTGGATATTGAAATCACCAACGAAACTCATCCTTGGAAAGAGTGATGGTGATCCAGGAGCTTACTTTTTAGCCCTCCAACCCTTTCAATTACTCCAGTGAAAGAAAAGACCCTCATAGGATATCTTAAATTAGAGCAAGACCTCTAAAAAAGCTTTCCAATTGGAAAGTTGGTTGAAGTGCTCATAGTCTATTTTTTACTGAATGTGAAATATTGTGCATTTTAAACAAAGTGGCCGGTCCACAGGCCATGTGACAGACATTCCTTGGTGACTCCCTTGATCTATAATTTGCAAACCTCTGATTTTACTTTTACTTTGAGCCTGGAGCCTCTGACTTACCTATGTTTTGAGGTTATACCTCCTTTCTGTGGAATCGCTGGTTTCACAAGCACTAACAAGGTATGGCAACATTTAAAGGGCGTGTCATACGCAAAGGAAATTGAGCCAGTGTCCATAGGACTGAGACAACAGCCAACTGAAGAAGTTGGACCACTGAGAAAGTCCCCCTCCCTCACACACCTTGTCCTAACACTGCCTCCTGCAGGCACCTTTCTGCAGCCTCAAACCCAAACCTTCATTTGAAATACCAGGGCCAGGCTAGCAAGTCCAAGTTAGGGAATGTGCTAAGGAAGAAGGCACAAAGCTTGAATCAAAAGAGGAACTAACAACGACAACAACAACAACAAACTGGGGGGAGAAATGAAACTTCAGGAGAGGCCCTTGGCTGGAATTAGTTTTTAGCCCCTCATAGTTATCCAGAATAATTGGCACAGAGAAGAAAACACATTTGTTTGGGTATATGGCCTTACTTTCAAGTTTTAAATTAGATAAATAGAAGCTTCGTGAGGCATCTCTCAGTGGTGTATTTCTTCTCTTGTCCTTTTCAGCTTCTCATTCAGGTCCCTTCTGTTTTCTTACCACCTCTCTGTAAGATCCCCCTTCTTCTCTGACTTTCTCCCTCCACCTGCTCTTCACCGCCATTTTGTTCTCGTCCCCCTCTCCTCCGGTCCTGCTTCCCTTTCCTTCCTTCTCTCCATCTCTTGTCCGTGGCCCTTCTGAGAGCACATCTTCTTGTGCCTGCCCTGGTGGTGGTTAACGGAGGCAAGGTGTGATGGGTAGTGGCACGGATCCGGAGTTACGTACTGGCATGATGCTGGAATAATGCTCTTACCCGGAGCCATGCTCCCAGGTGGTTCTCCAAGGAAAGGCTATGCTATCAGCGTGAGATGAGTCTAGTTTTTCCTTAGTTGTAGCTTTCTTCTCCCCTACATCCAGACAGAGTCCCTCAGAAAGCTGCATGCTGCAGAGTGGCGTTGGCGAGGGCTGCATAGATTCTCCCCAGTGCGAAAAGGTAGTTCAAATAGAATTTCCTGTTAACATAGGAGAGAAGAATGTCCAATAAGATACAGCTTGCCTAAAAAGCTCTTCTGTGGACACATAGATACTTAAGGTAATTTTTTAATTGTCAACTATTAATAATAGGTATCTTATCAGAGTTAGTGGTTTATTAATATTATTTGACTTGAGAAAACACAAACCACTCCTACCTTCTTTAGGGATCTCTCTCTGGTCAGGCAGAGGCACATAGGAAGTACTTAATGCATATTTGCTAAATGAATATATGGATGGGTGGATGAGCCTGTGGCACATGGAAAGATAAGGGCTGGGCTCCAGAGAAGTATCATCCCCACCAGACCCTTTCTGGCCTAGTTCCTTCTCACTCTCTGCAGCATAAGATTGGGGCTCCCCAAGAGCTCTAGAAAGGAAAAGGGAGAGCCAGCTTCCCACTCCCTCGAAGGAAGAGTCCAGAGGGCTGAGGAGGCAGTCCCTCCCACACAGCAGGGAGGAAGCAGGTCTAGGCACAACAGTGTTGTCCGGGTCTCTATCCCTTCAGGGCCCCTGGCAAGAGGTCCTAGGAGCCTCTAGGGGCTCTGGAGCTGCCACATTTAGGGTTTCACCCAACCCAGTTGGAGGTAGAGAAGAACAGAGCAGGAACAAAGAGAATCGAGGTGGCTTTGGCTGGCACCCCCCATTCCCACTCACAGCCTCCTGGAATTGCCCCCAGGCCCCTAGGACCTGAACCCAGGCCTGAGATGGAACTCCAGGGCTGTCCCATGAAGGTGATCAGATTATTCCCATCACAGTACCTATATGAGTGGGGCCAGCTGTGGCCCCGTGGAGGCTGCCAGGGTGCTGAGGAGTGAAAGGGGCTGTGGCCCAGAGGGGTTCTCTCTTTCCCACTCTCCATAAGTGAGCGAATCTCTCCAACTGAGGTCGCGGGTGCAAGGGATGCCGTCTTCACTGTGAGTATCTTTCTCTACGTCAGAAAGGGAATGCATTCGTTTGTAACTTTAATTCACAGAGCAGTCTCACAGGTTATGGCCAACACTTGTGGGGTGCTTTCTATGAGCCAGGCACGGTTCCAAACAATCACACGCCTTAATGCTCTTTTAATTCTCACAAGGAGCCCGAGAGGTCAGCGCTGCTGTGGTCCCCATTTTACTAGGATTCTGAGGCCCAGCGAGGTTAAGTCACTTACCTGTGGTCACATAATGAGGAGTCAGAGCCAGAATTCAAAGCCAGGCAGTTAGGCAATAGAGCCTATGTTTTAACTATTATATCCTTTGAACAAGGCAGTGCCAGTAAAAGGAGGGAACTAACATGGCTTGGAGAGGATCACTGAATGAATTTCCCGAAGAGATTCAGCTAGCTGAACTGGCAATGGCCGTGAACCCAGATGGCCTTAAGCCAGAGCCTGTTCTTAGTCCACTTGGCTTCAGCTACTCAAAGGGTGGCTTGCAGCCCAACAGCTTTGGCATCACCTGGGAGCATGTTAGAAATGCACAATCTTGGGTCCATCCAGACCTACTGACTCAAAATCTGCATTTTAACAAGATCCCCGGGGGACTGCTTGCACATTATAGTTTGGGAAGCACTGCAGTAGGGCCACACTACCCACTGATGGGGGAGTTGAAAGGTTCAGCCACACAGGTAAGCCTTGGGACCCTGGTTTTTCCCAATGTAGCTCTTTCTTTTCAACCAGAAGTTCCCAGAGGCTGGGGTATAACTGTCCTTCCAAACTCAACGGGTACACTATCTGGACCAAAGAGGAAAAAGGGGTTCCTTCAGGTACAAGGAGAGTGAAGGGTCCTGAGAACATCCTAGGACAATTCACTGAAATCAGCCTCAAGACAGCTTGGGCGTGGTAGTTGTCAGGACACCACATACCTTGTGACTCTGAAATTCCGGCTGTTCTCTCAAGTCCTAGAAGTAAATGTGACTTATTCTCTCTGTCTGTCTTCTTCAACCATAATCTCATGGGGTATGTTTTGAGTGTGTATGTGATTGAATGTATGTGTGAAAACACTAACGCATCATCATTGTATTATCAGTCACATGACATGAGAACGCATTCTCAGGCTTGGGAAAACGTGGGCCAGCGTCAGCTCTACTCACCATTTAGAACAGGGGCTGAATGACCTGGCAGCCTCCAGGCTGAATTTGGCCTGCAGATATGTTTTGTTTGCCCGCTAAGTGTCAGCCTAGACTGTGTTTTAGTGTTTATGGGGCAGGGGGGTAGGTCACATAAAAATCCAGATTTGCAGCTTTTGTTGAGAAATCAGAGTATCTGGCAACACCAGGCCTGCGTTCCAGCATAGTCACAATTGAAGGCTTCAGGGCGCCTGGGTGGCTCAGTTGGTTAAGCGACTGCCTTCGGCTCAGGTCATGATCCTGGAGTCCCGGGATCGAGTCCCACATCGGGCTCCCTGCTCAGCAGGGAGTCTGCTTCTCCCTTGGACCCTCCCCCCTCTCATGCTCTCTCTCTCTATCTCATTCTCTCTCTCAAATAAATAAATAAAATCTTTAAAAACAAAACAAAACAACTGAAGGCTTCATGGAAACCTTCACTTTCTCATTGCCACCATCTCCACCACCTCCCACTGCCTCCTCAGTGCTGAAACCAAGTGTCAGCCTAGCTGGTGTTTAACTTACAATGGAGTTGAGAGAAAAGTCAACCCTTTGTTCCATGACACCTAGACTCTCTACCCATTCATACCACCTGCAGACGTTTGGGTTGGAATCCCTGGTTTGGATGAAAGTCGAGAGCTTCTCTGGGATCTACACATCCCTCTAAATTCCTAAATATAACATGATATTCTGGTTGCCTCCTGAACCAATTTGGAGGAATAATTTATTAGTGGTGTGGCGCACAGATATTTCCTGAACTCCCATTGGGTTCCTAGCCCTGTGCTTGCCACTGCAGATAATTCAGAGGCATGAAAAGAATGAGTATTGGTTGAAGAAATAAGACTTAAGCCTAGGAAACAAGTAGGGAATAAGGTCAGAGAAGTTAGACCAAGGATAGGTAGGATTGAGGGTGGGGCATCAGGGGGAAGGGAGCAGATGGAATGAATAAGACACAGGGAAGGATAGCGAATACTAGACTAGAGCAGATTTGGGCTGGAGAAGATAAGGCACGGGGCGTCTGTCTGAGGGGGAGAAAGTGTTCGGGTGAGATGGGGAAGAGAGGGAAGTTTCTGCAGGGTCATGCGTGCCAAAATGAGTGGATCTGGGGTAAAGTAGAACCTGGCAATAAGTAAGGAACCGGTTGCTCTTTCCAGAATGTGTCATGCTCTTTTCACCCAGACTCTGCCTCTTTTTAGAATGCCTTGCCTTCTCTGCTTCAGTCAGCCCCGCCTGCACTCATCGTCTATGCCTCAGCTCAGACCCCGGGCCTTCCCAAACAGCCTTCTGGGGGGAGTGAGGGACCCCTGTCTCTACGCTCCTGAGGTACCCCAGGCATGAGTTCTGAATGTTGCCTAGAAAGAGAGCTTTTGGGATCTCAGAATCTACCCATCTGACTCCACCAAATTAGAAACCCTTTCACAGGGGTACTGTGTCCTTCTTCATTGTGACTCCAAAGCCTTCAACAGTGTTGGGCACTTACCAAGTGCCCACCGCATGTTTTGGGAAGAGTAAATGAATGAATAAACTAGAGAAGATTACTGTACAGGCCAGGCATGCAATGATAAGGTGGTTAGCGTAGAATCTGCAGGAGTAGAACGGAAGGAAAGAATATAAGAAACATTTCAAAGAAAGAAATCGGTAAGACTTGCTGCCAAATTGAGTATGGTGGCCAAAGAGCCTAGAGGAACTCAAACTAAGATAAGGAAGGACAACAGAGATCCGGGAAAGCTGGGCTGGGGAGCTGGTGGGGGGACTTATTCCTACATCTGTGGAGCAGAAAGTTCTCCGAGACATGGGTGCCCTGTGCCCTCCATTACCTGAGCTGTCCCTTTTGGTCTGTGTCTTTTTGCTGCTCCTGGAACTCCAGCCATTTCAGGATCAAGGAAATGAAGGTCAAAAGGAAAAGAACAGAGCATGAAATTCTCATTTCAAATCTTATTTCCAGTTATATTTTTCTTCATGCAAAAGCTTTAGAGGCAGATATAAATATGAAAAAGGCCAGCTGTGGCGACACTGGGTGGGTGTGCTGCATAATAAAGTACCAGAAAAAAACCAGGGAAGGGGAAGGGGGGAGGGGGGAGGGGGAAGGGGAAGGGGGGCGGGGAGCGGGGTGGGGAGCTGAGCCCATGCTGCTGCTTTTGCTGAGGAAGAGTGGGTGCGACTCCATCTGTTTGGTCCTTTGTCTCAGCCTTTTATTTTATTTGCTGTAAGTTGCTTGTTGTTGCCAACGTGCAAAAACTGATATAATTGCAACGAGACTAGAACCTGCCTGAATGAGGAGAGAAACCATCACTCAGGGCTTCGTTCTGGGAAATTAAAGAGAAGAAACCCAATGTCTGTCCAAAGCAATTACTGAGAGAACAGTGAAGCAAAAATTCATTTTCCCCTATTTCTCACAGCCCTCCGATCCATCTGGGACGTGACAGCCCAGATTAGGTTGCCCCAGCTTACTGGCTGGCCTCTTCACACCTAGGCTCCCTCCCTTCAAATCAACTAAGGCTCCCACTTCACTAAGGTCTTAATTCATGCCCAAGGCTTCCCAGGCCCTGGCTCGGCCCTGCCCACTTCTACTTCCATCCTCCCACCACCACCACTTCCCCACTGGCCTTCCCTCCCTTTTTCTAAACTCACCAAGTCTCTTCCTCAGGATGAAGCCTCATTTGATCCCTCAACCTCTACAGCTTTCTTCACCCTTCATCTGGTTAGAGCCTATTCTCCTTCTGGTCTTAGTCTCCTCTGACCTTCCAGAAATATTAAAAGCTTGCCTGTGCCAGAGATTGCCAACAGGCCCCCAGTCTCCTTCTTCTCTCCTTCCTTGGGGGCAGAGCATCTAATTTTGTGTGAGGCACATGGCTGTGCACAATGATGAGTGCATTTCCCAGCTCCCTTGGAGCTGGGGGTGGCCAGGTGACTGAATGGTGGCCATGAATATAAACAGAAGCTAGCCTTCAAACAGTAATAAAAGAAAAAAAATCCGTGATTTCGGATTTTGAGACGGTCAACAAGTTGCTTCAGTATATCTTGCTCTATTAGAGTCCAGGGGTCTCCAGCCCAGTAATATTGACATCTTACCCAGAAATTACTTAACTATACTCTGTAGTTAAGTCTCTGATATGTATACAAAGTGACAACCTCCCGTGTAAATTCTTAGGCCATGGGCAACTAACAAGTCTTTTTCTTGCAGTGAATACTTTTCTATTTCCAGCCCACCCTGGAGTTAATAATACGAGTTGATATTTATTGAGGATTTCCTTACGTCTGCCTTCCTGAATCTGCTGAGGAGCATGCCAAGTACTGGTGTGTATGAGCTCATCTAATCTTACAAGATCTGGATGAGGTTGGCACTACCATCATTTCCATTTTGCAGATCGGAACACTTAGGGCCAGAAAAGTAAAGCAATGTGCCTGAAGGCTCACAGTCAGGCAGTGACTTGGGCCCAGGGCTGTGTGGGCTTGCCCCCTCCAACTCTGCTGGCTTACTACCAACACTGGGGAAAAGCCTTTCTTTCTTTTTTTCTTCTTCTTCCGTTTTTTTGGTTCTGTCTCTGCATTGCTGGTCCCTACTGTGACAAAAACCTTCTTCTTTCTAACACCTGGTTTTTCTCTTCTGGTGACATTTACTAACTTATTTCTGTCCTCCCTTTCCTTTTAAACCACAAATCAAGATTGCCAGGACCCCGATTCCCACATTACCTTTGTGCTCTGGTCATGGTGCCCTGCGGTCTAGGTGCTCTCAATGCCTTGTCAACCCTAAGGCACCTGCACATACAAGGACATTTCCTCAGGCATGGAGAAGAGAGGCCTGTACAATGGAGCTTTCCAGAATGGATTATACATTTAGAAAGCAACCGCAGAAGCTCCCTGAAGTCCAAGCAGAGGCCAGGTGAATGGGTAAATGAACTCAATGAGTAGACAATATTTCAGTTATTTCTCCGTAAGAACTAGGAACAGGATTAGAAATTAGGTTTTCCTTTCCCACCTGTGCTACTATCTTATTCTTATTATTGAAGAGTTACTTCTTATTTTGTACATCATTCCTCTGGAGTCAAGCCCACCATGCTTGCTTTGTGGAGGAGACTAAGGCAAAGAGAACTGGTGAAAGATTACTCTGAGTCGAGGATAAAACCTGGATCCTGAGTGGTAGCAAGCATTTCCTGCTCCTCCTTCTGCTCCTTTTCCAAGTGACTTGGTTTCTAGATCTTACAGCCCAGGCCATCTGGGCTGCAGCAGGGGCGTCAGGCTGGCCTGATTTAAGGCATGTACCTGAACTCATTGTGCTGGTGCAGGTCGGCAAAAATCTGAGAGAGCGCCTCACTCTCCCCCTTGGCCATCAGCTGCATGAGGCTCTCGCTGGGCTGGGAGGCTTGGGGTTTCTTCTCTACCGACTAGATGGAGGGAAAAAGCAAAGCCAGGTGGTTAAGGCCTTAGGGTCTGTGCATTTTCCTAATCACGGTCCAGACCTGAAAGTGTTGGAACTCGAGCTGTTCCTCTGGGCTGATGGGTCAGCTGCTCGGAGAGGCCATTCTGAGGCCATCTCTGATTATACCACCTGTATTGTTATAAATATCCTTTAGCGCCTTAAAGATAATACTGTCATTGAAAACTTTAGACATAATTTAGTAGATAATCTACTCTTATTAATGTACCTTCATACGTTCCTGAATAGCCTATTCCTATAAACTTTAATAAAGCTTCTGCTACTTGGTTTTATATTTCAGGGTAGGGGGATCAAATATCTGTTGTAGGAATTTAATAGATGCTTAAAAAAATAATTTCTCTGGGCGCCTGGGTGGCTCAGTCGGTTAAGCGCCTACCTTCAGCTCAGGTCATGATCCCGGGATCCTGGGATCAAGCCCCATTTCGGGCTCCCTCCTCCGTGGGGAGTCGGCTCCCTCTCCCTCTGCCCCTTATGCTGGAGCTCTCTCTCTCTCTCTCAAATAAGTAAATAATATCTTAGAAAAAATTAATCTCTCTAAGAAAAATCCTATGTTGAGCTGCTTTTCACACTTGGGTAGAATTGCTTTCTTTCCTGTTGCCTGTGATACCCCCATAGGTACTCCAGCCATGCATGCTGCTCATAGTCATTCATTCATTCATTCATTCATTCATTCTGTATTGAATGTCAGCTATGTACCAGGCACTAGGGATATAACAGCTCAGAAGATGGGGAACCTGTTGCCTCCATGCAGTTTACGTTGCAGCTCAGATTGGTCTGATGTCACACCTTAAGACCTCGGGCAAAAATGCCCAGGTGAATTCTATCAAATATTTAATGGTCATACCAATTCTTCAAAAACTCAGAAAACAGAGGAGGAAAGAACACTTCCCAAATCAGTCAATGAGGCTAGTACTACTCCAAGACCAAAGCCAGGGTGTCACAAAGATTTCTGAAGAAAACTACAGACCAATATTGCTAATGAACATAGATGCAAAAATCTTTAACAAAATACCAACAAACTGAATCCAGGAACATATAGAAAGGATTATATATACCATGACCAGGTGGAATTTTTATTGCAGAAACACAAGGTTGGTGAGGATATGGAGAAACTGAAACCCTCATGCATTGCTGATGGGAAGGTAAAATGGTAGAGCCACTTTGGAAGATAGTTTGTCAGTTTCTTGAAAAGTTAAATCTAGGGGCGCCTGGGTGGTTCAGTTGGTTAAGCACCTGCCTTTGGCTCAGGTCATGATCCCGGGGTCCTGGGATCGAGCCCCGTGTTGGGCTCCCTGCTCGGCAGAGAGCCTGCTTCTCCCACACCCTCTGCCTGCCGCTCCCCCTGCTTGTGTGCTCTCTCTCTGTCAAATAAATAAATAAAACCTTTAAAAAAATTTTTAAAAAATCAAAGTTAAATCGAAACTTATTCTATGACCCAGCTATTACATTCCTTGGAATCTACCCAAGACAAATGAAACATACAGCTATGCAAAAACTTGTACACAAATGTTCATATCGGCATTATTCAGGATAGTCAAAACCTGGAGACAATCCCAATGTCCAACTGGTGGATGGACCAACAAAATGTGGTATATCTATATGATGGAATGCTATTCAGCAATGAAAAGGAATACGGATAGTCTGTGACTCTGCCACAGAGTTGGCCTCATGCTACAATATAGATGAGACTGAAAAACATCATGCTAAGGGAAAGAAGCCAGGCATAAAGACTTTATGTTGTAGGATTTCATTTATATGAAATGTCTAAGAAATATGAATTTATAGAGACTGAACACAGGTCAAAGGATGCCTAAGGCAGGAAATAGGGACATTTGAATGACTGCAACTGGGCACAAGGGAATTTTTAGGGCGATGGAAGTTTTCTAAAACTGGATGGCAATAATGGTTGCCCAACTCTACAGAGTTACGGAGAATCTTGAGCTGTACACTTGACAGGGCTGGGTTTTATGGTTGTAAATTATACCTCAATAAAGCTGATGAGCAAAGGCCTAAGGCAGGGATCACCTTCACAGGGTGCTCACATACCAGCTCACCTAAACTCCACAGTTCAGCTCTGGCCTTTGCTGGAGGTGGCAATGGTGCCCACTTACGTTAGAGTCTCCCGAGGGGCTGCAGCTGTTCTTGGGTACCAGACAGTGAGTGACAAGAATCCTAGGGTCCTTGGTGGTGATGGACAGGCCCTTATGCAGAATTTGAACCAGTCGGATCCAGAAGTGGAAGACAGTCCCAGGATGGTCAGGGTGGAGCCTTAGGTAGTAGATCTTTTCAGTGACTGTCCTCAAACGCAGGATGCGTTGAAGCCGGTCACAGACCTGGAACTCCACAAACTTCAATGGGAGGATCCTGAAGCCACAAGGGAAGAGACACCATGGCAACCCTATGGCTTCTGATCCAACCCTGACTTCATTAAAATGAGAAGTGTCTCCTACAGAACTGAGGTTTTTGGGAGTAGGAGAGAGAATGTTTAGCACCGTGGTGCTCCAACTTTGGGGAGACCAGATTTCCCTGGGGCGCTTGTTTAAAATGCAGACACCTGAAGCTATCCCCTACAACTCAGACTCGGTAGGTCTGGGGTGTTGCCCTGAAATCTGCCATGATTCTCACGCTGGGGTTCCCTGGGATCCTGCTTGAGAGAGAGAGAGCCCTGGAACAAGGAGGCTGCGGTCATAGGGGTTTTCAGTTTCCTTCTTGATCGTATAAAGGGAACTGCCCTTCTCTGCCACAGAGTGGCATTGTCCAGCTTGTCTGTTCATTGACCCCAATGCTTTCACTACTTTTCCCAAAGGGGCTAGAGTTCAAGGAACTGGGCTGTACTTTCTATAGGTACACCCAGAACATAAAGGTGAGGTGGACATAAAGCAGCTGACATGGAGAAATGAAGGGTTTGCCTGGACTTCTGGGAATCTCCAGAGATTCTTGAGATATCCTACAGATTACTTGAAGCTATTCAAACATCACAAAGGGCTGTTTCATCCCAGAGGAGTCTGAGGTCCCTGTATGTTACAGTTCTAAGTGAGAACTGGTTCCGCTCATTTTACCAGCAGGGAAACTGAGATGAGGCAAATAGCTTGAGACTCAAAACTTATTTGAGTCATTTGGATACCAAAGACTAGAGTCTGTGTCTCCCAATCAGTGCTCCACTGGCTGGACCTCACTGCTTCCTTGCCCCTCAGCCCGAGGCAGGGAGATTTGCTATGGATTCAGCGGGGGTGAGAGCAACAGGAAGGAAAGAAGTCGTGTTGACTGGCTTCTCATTGCTGACCGCGTAACACTTCCCTTTGCCCCCCTCCCCCAAGCTTGGCCTAATGCTTCCAGTGCACCCTCTGTCTCGGGCTACTGTTGTCTACAATAATAACGTCACTGCCAGTGACTTCTCTGTTTCTCCCTACTTTGAGTTGAGTCACAAAGCAGCCTCTACTTTGGGTCCACCCCTCACCCTACTCGTCCTCTGTTCCCATCTGTATTGCTTACCTCTTCAGCTTGATGTTTGGGGCTATAGATGGTCTGTTCCATGTCTGGCTCTGTCCCTGGTGCCATTTGACATTAGCCATGAGGAGGATATTGGGAAGGGGCAGGCAGGGCACGGAGGAGGTTACCCCAAGGGCCATGGTGTTGGAGGCCTTGTAGATGTCTATCCAGTCCCTGCCCTTTCTGACCTGCAAAGCAGCCCCATGGGCACAGCCTGAGCATTTGGCAGAAGCAGCAGTGTATTCTATTTTTTTTTT